GACGGTGGTGAAGGTGAAAGAGAAGATCATGATGCTGTGATGCTTCTGATGCTGACAGTGCTGATGATGACGATGCTAATGAGCTAATGATGACGACGATGATGATGGTGATGATGATGATGATGGAGATGATGATGAGGAGGAGGAGGATGGGGATGATGACGATGCTGATGGTGACGACGATGATGATGGTGAAGGTGGTGATGATGCGGATGATGCTGATGATGACGGTGATGTTGCTGATGGTGATGGCGATGATGAATCATAGCGATGGCGGCGACTGTGATGAGAAGGAAGAGGCAAAGGAGAAGCGGCGACGACTTGGGTGCTCGTGCTGACAGAGGGATCACCACGAACTGCGATTGTAACAAAAAGTTGGCCGCTCATCATCATCGTTTCCCACATTTACGCACGTCGTCGTCACTTGTCGTCGTCGTTGCCGCGCTAGTGTTACTCTTGTCCTCCTCCTCCTCTCCTCCTCCTCCTGGTCCTCCTCCTCCTCCTCCTCCGCCTCCGCTGCCTCGTTTCGCTTCAACTGCTGCTCACCCTCCTTCGCACAGTACCTTCCAAACGGGGGTCAGGCGGCAATCTTAGTAAACGCCTGCATTCGTGCGTTTTTTGACATTGCTCTGGATTTGAGCTTCAGGGTGCCGGCGTTTAATATGCATCGCCCGCCCAATTGAAAAGCAGGGTTTAGGCATGCTGGCGAATGCCAAGGATTTAGGGCTTTGCTTCAGGTGGCAGATTACTTGCAAAAAAAGCCGGTCCACAAAGCTGGGATCGTTCAGCAGCTGCTGCGCTAGGCCTGCAAGAGCATGAGCTTCATTCCATTTAGGTACTGCAGTGGCTTCACCCAAAACTGGCAGCCGAGTGCCGAACGCAGAGCAGAAGCGGAAGAGTCACCGCCTTTCGCAGCCGCTCTCACTCTAAATCCATGCCTCATCTCTACTCAACCGCTTGACCTGTATCCCTGAATAAGGTTGAATGAAGGAAGTCTCTTGAAGTCGTTATGAGTATGTATCCCTCAGCAAACAAGACTTAAAGCAATACTCCGCCGTTGAAGGGTGTCTTCTTCCGAAGGAGGTCACGGGCGAATCCCTCGTAACTGTTGCGAGCCGAAGAGCCTTTGTCAACGGATTCGGCCTCGCTGTCCAATCCTCCTAAGAGGCCACGAACCTGAGATGCTCGTGTGAAAAAAGAGAGGAACTGAAAGGACACGAGCAAAACGGACAGGGTTCGATAGTTCCAACACTTCGCTGGATGGACAAACGCTTGCGCTGTGGAGCTGCACCTAAGAGCTTGTTTTTGTTGAGTGTTGGTGTTTATCGGTTTTTGGGAAATTGAGCACAGGTATATGCGTGACACACACACAAACTCTCAAGCACGCACACACACACATAGATATATTATATATATATACATACATACATACATACATACATACATACATACATACATACATACATACACACACACACATATATATATATACATATATGAGTATATCAGGCTAAACCGTATCATAATCAAATCGGAAGGTTCTGCCAGCCGAGGCGAGGGCCGTGTGCCACAACAGGCCCAGTGCCTGGGAAGGCAGATGAGATCTAGCGTTCATTAGACTAATTACTATATGAAATGCAGAATTTACGGCTTTTACTACATTTACCTCAGAAGCTCGAGGAAGCTTGGGGTGACGGCTCAAACGGTCAGGGGCCACTGAGCGCACAGATTCTAAACTGATTCTGGACGCGATCCTGAGGAGAAGGCCTCTTTGTGCCCACCTGCGACAACGGCGGCAGGAACGAAACTGCTACAGCTGGGATAATTTACTACCTGCTTAGGTTTAGTTTAGAGTTAGGATGAAACCTACGCCATACATCTCTGGCACAAACTGTAACCTCTGAACTACCACATCCCTGAGCCTAACACAAACCTGCAGGCTTTGAGTTCTGCAACCCTGAAGCTGGAGGTGGACACGCCACATCAAAAACAACCTTAGTATCTTATTCATGCTGAGAAGGAAGAGGACTACTAGGTCCAGGACTGACGATGATGATGGTGGTGGTGATGACGGTTCGTAACTCTCCATGACCTCGGGCCAGGATGGTGATGATGCTGATATGTCGGAGAACTATGATGATGACAGTGATGGTGGTGCTAGGGACGGTGTTGACGATGGTAGGCGTGAAGAAAATGCTGGTGATAATCTCCGATGCTCCAGCACATCCTGCTCCTGCTCGTGCTGCTGCTGCACCGCTACTGACTTTTCATTTCCATACTGCTTCTAACGATTCAAGATTTGTGCACCAAACTGTTCTTCCGCCAAGTCACAGAGTCTGGAGGTGATGAGTCCAAAGGTTGTCGCAGCTGCTGCCTGCGACCTTTTGGGAGAAGAACCCCAAAATTGCCCCCAACGGCGTTGCTTTAAGTCTATCTTCAGCCCCCGAACCCCCTATTAAAACCCCGAACAGAACTTGGCAACACATCAGATCCAGCACAGGTTGCAGCAAGTTGCAAACATCTACAGTTCTCACTCTTTCCAGATTGATTTCTTTTTCAAATCTAACCAGCCTTCACAAAATCACCAGTGCTGAACACAAACCTGTGAAAAAAAAACACACGACAGACTTCAGTGCATCGCCGCACACTCGATTTTACGACGGACTACCATGTGACACGGTAGCACCACATGGCGGCCTGAAACACTTTGTTCCAAAGCACGTAGCTAAAATCCGGGGCAGCACCCCGCCGTCGGCTGGGTGCCCAAACCCGGGAGCTTCTCCGTCGTTCTGCGGGCACAATGCGCCCCAGCCCGGCACGGCAGCGACGGCCTTGAAGGCTCCAAAAGACTTGGGACTTAGGGTGTACTTGCACTCGCGGGCCATGCTAGTTTGGGATCTTGGGGCGGTCACTTCGTGTGTAGGCTTAAAGCTTGCATGCGGTGGATCACGGCTGGAAGTGCTGCTGAAATATTGACTGGACAGTCTTGGAATCAATAGCCTCAGTGCTGGTGTTTGTTACAGAAGCAGTGGCAGCAGTCGCATCATTAGAAGTTCTCGTCGTCTGTGCCCGGCGATCTGCAGGCTTTCTGTTTACTGTTTCATGCTACTACACAACATGTCTCTATATAGTTGTTGAGTTGTCAGCTGTTCGCATCTCTTCGGCAAGAATTCTGTGGAGCTCTCCCTTGTCGCTTCGAGATCCGAGCTCCAAGCTGTCAGGAAGCTGTGCAGGCGCGCTGCCGGCACGCTGGCTACGGCACGGAAAATCTCGGCCTCGAGAGCACACGCCCCAAGAATAAGACCAGTGACGTCCCTGTCGACGATCAGCAGACCGGGGATTCTTACGTAGTTGTATTGATACAATGAGTGACATCCACCCGTGCAGCCTGGGGCGCCGGCGAAAAGACCTCACGAGAGCTGGCAGCTATGCACCCAAATGATCCGAATAGGGCTTCGGGAATGACACAGCATAGCTACAGGGGGGCTATCAGGGAATCTCACTATTATTTAATTGTTACAACCCACAATAATTGCTCCAACCTCTACTTTAATTTCGTCATGCTTCAAGCTCAATTCTTCAAGTTCTCAACTCAAAGGAAGATCATGCTACGCATCCGGACGACCACACCTTTGCCCCTAGCAGCCGGGAGAAACACAAGGCTTCCCCTTCTGTTTGTGTACGTGAATCATAGCTTCTGCTTCGCCCGCAGAAAAAGGAAAGGTACCGCGCAGCAAAAAGCACCCTCTGAAATCACGGGTAAACGCTGTGGCATGTTCTTTTTTGCAAGGAGTTCACACCGAGTTCACTCACTCACTTCCTGCCCACGGCCCTGCAGCACACACAGCAAAACAGCACCCACAACAAAATGAAACGGATTCCGACTCATGACAACGCGAGGAAGAACAGTGGCTTTCAAACGAGCGGAGGTTCGACGTTTCAAGGTTCGGGATACAAGCTTTGAAGAGTCACAGTTCGCAATTGATCGTACTGTTCCGGGACGTAGTAATGAGTGTTTAGTTTGGATCGACGGGTCCTGGTGCTACGATCGCCGTCCCGCCTGAAGTCCACAGGCTGGAGAAAAAAATGGCTGCCCAGTCGCGGGCCTGTGGGCTCCAAGTTCAAGCTTTGGGCTCGGGGCTCGGTCTGTGGCGAGAAGCTCTCAGTTCAGTCGTGCTTGCAGTGCTCGGCGAGTCCACAAACACCTCTGCTTGTGAGCTCGGCAATGCCAAGCCTTGGCGGCCACAGCCGTGCTAAGGTCATCGGCGTCTACCTCGGAGGAAACATGCTTTTCGCTCTTAGGGTTCCGAAGGATGAGATTGATAGCTAGATAAATAGGCAGACAGACAGACAGATAGACAAATGGATGGATGGATGGATGGATGGATGGATGGATGGGTGGATGGATGGATAAAGGGAGGGAGGGATGGATGAACGGACAGATTGCTGGATGCATACTGGTCTTCATGCTCTGCTGCAACTGAAAAAGTTGCAAAGGCTAGTAACCTAGTAAACGGCATGTTAACAACCAAAGCACAAGTAGACTGTGCATACCCCACCGCTCCCAGTATGTAGAACCGTGCCACACAGACGCCTGGCTTGGAATTGATTTGGGATGTGTGCCTCAGGCAGGCGACCCTCTCACCCCAAGAGAGAAAAGGTGAAGGCAGAGGGCATCGCGTGCAGAAATTAATGTGTAGTTGTAGGCCTTGCAGATTGGTCGTTCTTAGGATTTCGGGCCCTTCTGAATTGAAGGTTCGTTCATCCCACCACACAAAACCACGTTAAGGGAACACTTCCACTCATAAAAGTCTTCACAACACACCTGCAGAATCTACGAGTGGAAGAGCTTTTTCCAGAGCGTAGCTAGACTCCTGATTTCTTCCAGGACCAGGTTTCCCACCAGGTTTACAGTGAGAAGCCAGTCAGGTGAAGCAGAGTTTACGTCCATGCACCTCGAATTCTCTTTTTTGGGAGTTGTAGACTCCCCACCAGGCACTTCAAGCGGCAGCAGTGAAGCTAAAGAAAGAGTTTCGACAAAGAGGGCACTTGCTCCGACTTTGGGACTCACTTGACAAGATCTGATCGATGCACTCGCTGTGATAGATGTGACTGCATTGCAGAACAGTCTGCGCCCTACCCTCCGAATCCAAAGCCTCCAGGCAAATAGCACAGGAATCTTTGCTGTATTCCCCTTTCAGAGCAGCACGGTATTGCCGTGCCTTGTCTGGCAGTTGTAGGACATTCTCACAAAGGTTTGCCAGGTTCGTAAGGATATTTACTTCCACGCGACGGTCGCCGATTCTTCGAGTGAGCACCAAGGCATTTTCGTACTCTTTCTTTGCTTCTTGGTACTTTCCATCGGCACAAAGTGCTGACGCGAAGTTCGCGATCAAAGTCACAATAGCGTGGGGGTTTGAACCTTCCTGCTGGAGCTTGATCGCTTTCTTGAAGTGGTCCAAGGACTCCGGCCGGCGTCCCTCCATCTGGCCCAGGCACATGCCTAGGTTTCCTTCGGCAATGCCCTGCTCATGGACCGTTAGCACGCGCTGTGCCAGCATCAGGGACTGCTGATAAAGATGCTCGGCCATATCAAGGTCTCCGGCTTTGATTGCATGCGAGCCCATGCCTGTCAACACGTTGAAAGACCTTGACTCCAAGTTCACACTGCAGTTGCTCGGTAAACAAAGGCGAAATCCTGCCATTATCATGCCCCATGTGTTTCCTAATACCACGACGCGTCCTGTTACTGTTACTCACTGCCCAAGTAAGCAGCACTACAATGTCGATTTATCGTCTAGACGATGCTTCGTGGCCGAAACGACGACTACAGCCACCCACGATGGCACTCCTCCTCCTCCTCCTCCTCCTCCTCCACATCCTCCTCCTCCTCCTCCTACAACTCCAACCCCAACTGTAACTCCCAATCTCGCTCCCACTTCCACTCACTGCTACTGCTGCTTGCTGCTGCGGCTGCTCCTTCTTCTCCGCGCCACCACCAAAAACCACCACCACCACCACCACCACCACTACCACTACTCCTGCTACTACTGCTACTGCTACTGCTGCTGCTGCTGCTGCTGCTGCTACTACTACTACTACCACCACTACTACTATTACTACCACCACCATCACCACCACCACCACCACTACCACCACTACCACTACCACCACCACCACCACCACCACCACCACGACTACTACTGCTGCTGCTGCTGCTGCTCCTACTACTACTACTACTACTACTACCACTACCACTACCACT